GATTCGATCATATGTAATTTGTATCTCACAATCACAACTCCTTGTGATTAACAAATCACCAAGACTTGAATCTACGGATTCTATTATTTAATTTATTAGAATATTAATTCAATTAAATAATAGATATTGCCATACATATGCATCAATTATATATATTTAAAGTGTTTATATCCAAAGTTGATTGGACATAGGGTATAACACTTACACAGTTTTCCAATATATCTCTGTTTTTGTGAAACTAGGTTAAGCTTCATAAAGTTTATTGTTCTGCAATGGTGGAATTTCCCCATTATGCACTGTCTTCTAAGAATTTTTCATGTAAAATTTGCTTAATTATAGTCAAAAATAAGTGTTTATAACTTTCATCAATGAAAATAATTATAAATTTTAAATGTGATTATATACTTGTACACTTACGCTTAACCTCTTTAAGCTTGGTCAAATATATCATATTCAGGAATCGCTCTTTATAAGATGTTGCACGCAGTGATGGAGTCAAACTCGAACAATTATTAAGAGGGTTTTCTCTTTGCTATCGTTTTAATTTACCCAATTAACTTAGCAAGTCTTTATGGAGACATCACACTGGTCGTTTTTCTTTGCATGTAAATTATTATTTAGAGATCTTGCTTAATATTTGTACCTTAATTTGCATTAGAAGTGTCGTCAAACATTAAAAATTACTAAAAAGTTTTATTTTTTATTTTTTAACACAATCAAAGTCATACATTTTAATCAATCACATATTCACAACTACTATTCATTTATTAACCACACATTTTGTAGGCCCCAAATACTGAAGTTAACAATAGTTTTTCCCGAACACTCCAAATATATATTGATTTTGGAAGGCTATTTATTTAGTTTTAAAAAAATCATTTTATGCAAATTGAGATGGTTTTGTTTTTATTAAATAAAACAACATCATAAGCATTATTCGTAATAAATTAGAAGTGATCGGCAATGAAAATCAATTTTGTTTAATTGTTACATTTTTTGATTTTGATAGAACATTAAACGCAGCTGAATATTTAACAATTTGAATATCGTCTTGATTTTGATGTGTGTCTCTCTCGACATGTTACGTTCTGTTGAGATCACTACTCTTTTTATTAAAAGTCAACTCATGTAATTAAAAGTTCCTTCAAACGCAATATTATTCACTTAATTTGTTTTAACTTATACATACACTACTTATTAGTGTGTATCATTATTTTTCCATCTTATGCGTATTATACATTTATTTCGCTCTTAAAAGAAATGGGTTGTGCTAGGCCATGATTTTCAACTCATTTAAGAGGGAAAATGTGAAGGAAAATTGAGCGCGTTTGGCCAATGAAAGTGTCAATTTATAAGAAGCAAGTCTCACACATTGTGTGAACAATAAGCCTTTATTTGACGATCATTATTTGAAAAATCCTTTTTTACGTATTCATTTTCAACCATACGTTTACACAATAAAATATTCTACTGTAAATTCAAATTTTTTTCCTATTTTTTAACTACACGTTCTCATAAAAATCACTATATGAATTTTACTTTTCTCAAATAATGGTTGTTATGTATGGTACCCATGTCATATAAAGCAGTATTCCTTTACTTATTTTCCTTATAAGACGTAGATCTTTCATTTTTCCCGTTTGGCCCCTATTTTTTGAGATTTTAATTTTTAAAATAATATTTTTTTGAAGAATGTGTAGTTGAAAAAGAAAGAGAAACTCACGATTTATGTGTAATATTATTTTATAGAAAAATATCTTATTGAAAAGAAGAGAGAAAAATGTATTCAAATTTTAATGGAGACTATACGATTTATTGTGGACTCAAAAGTCTTATAAATTAGCAACCAGCATATTCAAATTAGTGATCTAAAATGTTCGTCTACGCTCAAAGTTTAACCTTACCATTTATTATACTTTTATATTTTTTTTACACTTATGTTTTGTTTATGTTTGCTGCTATGTTTGACGTCTATTTTCATTCTCATCTTTTCTCCTTTTCATTTCAACAAAACATTTTTCAAACAAAATAATATTACACATAAATATAAAAAATTTCATTACTTTTCAACCACACATTTTTTTATCAATCACTATTTCAGAATTCATTTTTTTCTTTAAAATGGGTATCAAACACGAGCTTATAGCCCATTTGGCATGATATTTAAAAAGTCAAAAAGAGTCTTTGAAACTTAAAAGTCACTTTTGAACTCGTTTGATTAATTTTATTGAAGTGCTTTTTAAAATTATAATAATTTTTAGAGAAAGTTGGTTTAATGTGACATCTATAACAAAAATTTTAAAAATTAAATTTTAAATAAAAATTAAGGTTTCAAAAGTTTCGAAAGAAAAATAAAAATCATGAGACTCGTGAAAAGGTTTGATCTAAATCGCTGTTGTCAAAGTCGGACGGAGTGAACCGTGGAAAAAACAATAAAAAAAAAAACCGGTATAAAGGTCTGTCACACTCGGAAGATATCCGTTCGACTCTCGCGGGCTCTCGAGCTAGGGTTTTATCTTCCCTTTGATTTAAGATTCTTTCGCTGTATTGAAATTTCTATATTAGAAAATTTTGGAATGGATTTCAGAGGAGCAAAAAGGAGAGGTAGACCCGAAGGTGCGTTCAATGGCAGTGGCGGTTTCAAGAAATCCAAGCAAGGTCTGTTCATTATTTTTTACGCTCACTTTCAGTTCTAGGGTTTCTTTTTTGCTTATTTTCACCTACCTCTTTATGCGGTCAGTATTTTTGAAGTAGTTAACAAGTGTTCTGCGCTTGGCTTGGGTCATGTGTTGTTTTGTGGATTTCTAGTCTAATGTTGATGTATGGTGTTTCACTCTTTCTGGCACTCCATAATGTGATTCCTTTGTTGTTAAGGTTTTTTTTTTCTTTTCTTTTTCTTTTGAGTGTTTGCGGGAATAGAATCCTGATGGACTTGGACTATCACCCAATGTAAAATTGGTAATTTCCAATTTTGTATAGTTAGATAGCAAATTATGAAAATTGAAAATTGCCTTGTACTTTTATGAAAGACAAAAACGTTGGCATACTTGTAATTTGTGATTTCTGGTGGAGACTCCAGGTATATCCACTGGATCATTATGAACCTTTTAATGCTTTATTCTATTGAACTTTGGAGTTATGCCAGTGCTTGAAGAGGGATTTTCGGCAGGGAATCATTGTTTGAGGCCGAGTGGTCAAGAGATGTTTAATGGCCCTAAATGAGTGTAAATTCAATTAAGCACACATTGAAGGAAGCCTATGGGTACCCTGAAGAAAGTTCTCGATGTCCTTATTTCCTTGCTACCTTTTTTAGGGCTTTTATGTTGTCTTTAACCAGAATGTCAATCATGATTTTTTGGATTATAAGTTCTATCATTTTATTAATAGCAATGATCATATGGCGCTTAATCATTAGTTGAAGTATGAAAATTAATAACTCATAAATTTTAGCTGAGGAAAACAATTAATTTTCTGCAACAGAAATGGAGTCCTTTACAACTGGTATAGGAAGCAAATCGAAGCCATGCACAAAGTTTTTCAGGTTCTAATCTTAACCTATCTAAAATGAATACTTCAACTGCAACTTTTATACGTTGGTAATGATCGTAATGTAGATGGAATATTTATTCGTTTATAGTAAAAAAATAACATTATCTGGATTAATGAATCGGACATCAAAGATTCTGAAACAGGTTGTGCTCATCATTTAATTGATAAGTGACTATTGAATGGAAATTGCTGCGGTACTATTGAATTAAGCACTTGCTTGGACTGATGTAACACCTATTGAATAGAGTTATCAAAAGAAGTTCAGTGGGACAAACAATTTGCATCAATTTGTACCCATATTATAATTATGTACGACTCCTTTTGCAACCTTGGTGAATGACTTATTAGATTAATCAATGGATTGTATTGAATTTAGTTATGCCTGTTCCTGGGTAGTAGCTTCCAGTCTGAACAGTGTTATGGACTGCAGAGGTTTCCAACATCCTCGAAAATTTAGTCAAGGATCTTTCTTTGCGGTAAATCTCAGTAAAAAGAAAAAAAGGAGGTGCTTATGCATCACTTATGATTGGCCTTTCAGGTTACCAGAAGTTTGTGCTTGCTGACGCTGTAGTTGCTACATACTTGAATTGGTTATTGCAAGTTGTCGATTGTATATATTCTTCTTTGCATTTTTTTTTTCATGCTTGATCCTTGTACTCAATTCATTCTTGAAATTTTTTACCACTTTGAACTTGCATATGGCATTCATGCATCCTATGCTCCATAATGTCCATATATTAGTGAATATCTTTGCCCTGAGTTCATAGTAGTTACAAAGATATCGTTTCAAAGATTTCAAGTGAAGTAAAGGAACTTCCATTTGCACTTTGGCCTGGTTGATCCTTATTTTTCTGGATTGCCCTTATTGATTTGCAACAATTTCTTTTAAAAGTTCCAATGAAAATTTTAACTTCAACGTGTTGCTGCACATTCCTTGTGTCAGAGAGGCATGGTCATTTTTTTCATTTTAACGGCTTATCTGTTTACTAAGGTCCAAACAAAGAAGATCATGATTTTGCACATTTATCCCCTGATGTAGATTGAAATCTACTAAAAATCTCAAATCAAAGTCAACAATTAATTTTAACCATCTTTTCAACCTCACATTTAGCCCACAACTTTCAGCCTCACATTTTATCAACTTTGATCAAAATCTACTAAAAAACTGATTTTAATATACACGAAACAGGGGCCTGAATTCTTTAAAACCATAAAACAAATTTCTTGGAGGCATGGTCATTTTTCCAGCTTATATGTTTACTATAGTCCAACCAAAAATGATCATGCTTTTGCACATTTGAATTCCTTAAAACCATAAAACAAATTTCTTGGATACCCTATGCACTGCTCAGAATTGCTTCCTAAGCTCATTAACCTGCTAAAACCCGTAATACCTCATGAAAGTCATTTTTACCTTCAAAATTTCATTCAAAATGCGGATGAATAACTCTTTCTTCTAGCACTAATGATTTTTAAATTGTAGTTCGTTGAAGAGTGAAATCTATTGGTCACTTGGTATCTGATGCTTAATTGGCATGATGGTTTCCAATTTATGTCCCTAAAATTGTCATTTGTCAATACACTTGTGCCTGCTAACTACTTACATTCCTAATCTTTTTCATTTATTCATGGGTGTATGAGGATAGTCTGCTAAGTGGAGAAATAGTCAGTAGTGAACTGTGTAGGAGTTATATTAGCTTGTGAAAAATTGTTGAAAATTAGAATTTTAAGTTTTCAGTGGTTGGCTTATTATGGACAGGTTATTATTTAGTTTATGAACTTTATGAAGAGCATGTAAAGCTAATCTCGTTTGGCTTTTATGCTTGTTGATAGTGTTACATGTTTGAATCATTGAGAATCAATTATAGCTGAGTTGAGATCAGTTGAATAAGAAATTGATGGGTTGTCTCGTGAGCAGGCTATGTGTCCGCAATTTCTTTTAACCATTATATATTTTACTTCAGTAATTCTTTTGGTTGTGGTTTGATTGTCATTAGTTCCTGCAACTTAATGAAATCATTTTAGTTGAATGTGAGAGGATGGGTCAAGTTTTTTTTTTAGAAATAATTATTAGAAATTTCTTTGTGGTGGTATCATTTTTAATTAAGGAACAAATGAAAGAGGATAATGAGGATTATTGGAGTGTGGGTTGGTTTGGAAACTGCAGGGAGTTAATTTTCTGGCATCCTGAACATTGCACCAAAAGGTGCAAACCCTTGGCATTTGGTCTTTGTTATTAGTTAGATGAACCCATCACGTTGTTGAGTTAGTTCATCTGAGCTATGTTTGCTTCAGTGTTATCATTTGTAAATTTGCAGTTATGAAGAGTAATTCTGTATTATGTTCACAAAAACTATTTGTGTTCCTCTTACTTGTCTGATTTATCTGTAAACAGCCCTTCTGGATGTCCTTTTGGGGAGGGATGTCACTTCTTGCATTATGTCCCTGGTGGCATTAAGGCTGTCACTCAGATGCTGGGCAGCAATCCAGCCCTTCCAGCAGCTGCGAGAAACACTGTATTCGCACCGTCTTTTCCAGATGAACCATCCCCTATGGCCATAAAAACTCGTTTATGCAACAGATACAACTCAGCCGAGGGGTGCAAGTTTGGTGACAAATGTCGTTTTGCACATGGTGAGTGGGAGCTAGGGAAGCCATCCGTTTCATCGTATGACGATCCTCGCTCTATGTCAGGAAGATATGCTGGCGACCGTTTGGAGCCAACTCCATCAAACCTTGGAGCTGCAGCCAGCTTTGGAGCCTCTGCCACGGCTAAAATCAGTGTTGATGCCTCTCTTGCAGGAGCCATCATTGGTAAAGGTGGGGTGAACTCAAAACAAATATGCCGTTTGACAGGAGCTAAACTCGCTGTAAGAGATCACGAGTCCGATGCTAATTTAAGGAACATTGAACTCGAGGGTACATTTGATCAGATCAAAGAGGCCAGTCAAATGGTACGTGAACTTATTGTGAATGTTAGTTCTTCTTTGGCACCACCCAAAAGGCATCCTGTGATGCCAGGTCAATCTCCTGCAAGCAACTTCAAGACAAAGCTTTGTGAGAACTTTGCCAAAGGAACCTGTACTTTTGGAGAACGGTGCCACTTTGCACATGGAGAAGAAGAATTGCGCAAGCCAGGGCTATGATCTTTTTCTGTTCTCTTTCTTATTGTTCTCTTTTACTTTTGTCTGGTGATGTCCTTAGTGCTGTCCATCTTCTCGATATTAGAGAAATAGATAGACTAAGATCGCAACTTAAGATTTTGGGTTTTGATATGTCAACATTTGATTTTTGTTGGTGAAATTAGTCTTTATGATTTGATTTGCTTGTTTTGTTGCTCATGTGTAAACTTTTGGAGGCTGCTTCGTTTNNNTAAACTTTTGGAGGCTGCTTCGTTTGGCCGTCTCGTGGTTTCATCCAGAGGCACTAAAACTCTGTATTTGTTCTTCTCGTGCTATTAATAATTTGGAGCTTTACTGAATACGTGGTGGTTAATACTGTTATCTTGCACTAATTTGTTAAATTATTTTTATAAAAATATGTTAGAACTTTGTTAAAAACTTTCACCTCCACGTCCTTACCTCTTCTGTTACCTGGCCTGGCCTGGCCTGTTCACTAGATTCGTCAAGGCTACATTTTGTACTGGAGTCTGTCTCGTGCCATTTCCTACACGAGCCTATTTCAGTGATACCAGTGGCCTTTGGTTGGCCTCTGTACTTGGCGTTGGCAGCTGATTCTTTTGCTTGGTCCTATGATCCATTTGTTGAGACTTCAAATCTATATTTCTGTCTACTGATTTGCACAGGGTTCACTGCCTATTTTTGACAAATTCTACCAGGCTTGAGGTTTGAAAACATCACAAAAAATTACAGATTTGTAAGGGTCATTCATGAAGCAATTCTACTAATATTTTTTAGAGAGAGATTATCACAAAAATTCGAGATTTTTCAAGGATTTATTTCTTTGTTCCTTTTATGTTCTCGAAGCGCTGTAAAGATGAGCTGTCCTTATGGTAGAGAAACGGGTTTCTTCAGCATTCATTAATTAATTTATGGTACCGAACAAGAGTGCAATAAATTCAGAGAAACTAACTGATGATTTGAAGGGTAAACGGTGAGGATTATGATAGAAGTTTTTGAAATCTACTCGTAGAGGTAAGGGTTCACAGGAGGGGGGTTGTTTTGTTGATAAACACTCACAAATGCAGGGGGTGGGTTTTTTCTTTTCATTTTTTATTTCGGTGGGTTCCACACATTGTGAGAGTTGGCAAAATTTCTGTCAACCATTTCCCTGTACAAATGGTTTATTCCTTTTTGAAATGTGTGGCTGAAAAGTTGTGAGATCCATGAAAGATATGATTAATATTGCTTATTTGATTTTAATTTAGATTAAAATCATATTTTAATCCGAAACAAATATGCTCTTGATAAATAGAAAGTAACAAAGAAATAGCATGCTGTTGAATTTAAGGTACCTAGAATTGAAAATAAGAGAAAATTAACCCGTGAACCTATCAGATCTAGAATTGTGGTAGACAACTCAAATGAATAATAGTATTAATTCAATCCCTTGATGTACGATTTCATTTTTTTTTTAAATATATGTACTCATTTGACACGGACATCGAACACCAATTTCGTATTTATTAATAAATGAAAATAGAAATAGGCACTTCATCCGACCCCACCCTACTGTACAATTGCACCATATCACTACTGCTGAAGGGAAAAAAAAAAATTTGAAGAAGAAGAAGCTGCCACTAAGAGGAAAAATCATCATTAGAGACCAAATGTGCACTTTAATTTTAAAAAAAATTAAAAATTACACAAAAAGGGTGAGGTATAAATGTGGTAATGGCATAGATTGAAGACTTTTATTGCAATTAGAAAGTGATGCATCTAATAAAAATATTTATATGGGGTGGAAATATAGCCATTATTTATAGATTGTTCATTATATTCGCGCTATATTAACGGGATTATATTTTAATTGTAATGAAGGTCCTCAATTTTTGCTCATTTTTTGATTTATATACCCAATTTTTTATTGGATTCTTATATACAATCTTCAATTAATTAGCACATTTATCTTCGATGATTATTTATGCCCGAATAATCTTTTAACGTGGGAAAAACAATTTATCAAACATTTGTATTTGTTATTTATCTTGCTCATTTAAAAATATGAGGGACAAATATCAATCCCTTAATAGGTTTTTTATTGTCACAAGGACAAAATGTGTTGATTAATAGAGGATTCATAATAAAAATATGACGAAATAAAGTTGGTGACATAATTATGCAAATGAGCAAAAGTGAGGGACCTCCATTGCAATTAAAATATAGTATAATTAACAAAGCTTTTGGTGTAAATATAATTGGCCTTTATGGATTTAAGGAATCTAACTTTTTTAATTGAAGAGGGTAAATAACTAAACATATTAACACAGAATTTTTTATTTTTTATTTTTTTTGTCCCACCACTTCATATATGCATATTTAGCCATTATTTGAGCCACATTAAAATTTTCATTCTCATTTTTCTATTCATTTTTAACCACGTATTCTTCAATAAAATAGTATTTTACATCACATCAATAATTTTTCCTTCTTTTTCAACTACACATTCTCCATCAATCTACTATTCANTATTCTCATTTTTCTACTCATTTTCAACCACACATTTTTCAATAAAATAATATTTTCCATCACATCAATAATTTTTTCTATCTTTTTTAACCACACATTCTCCATTAATCTACTATTCCAAAATAATGTGGTTCAAACACACCCTTACATACTAGGTAAAAAATATTTTTGATAAATACACCACACCCACTTCATAAATATAACCAAAGTCGATAAAAAAATCAATCAAACACATTCTTATATTTGTTTTCAGATTCATTAGTGCCAAGCACTGGTGTAATTATTTGTTAAGCCCTTGTTTGGTACTCATTATTAACAAAATATATTTTTCTCTTTTATTTTCAACAACATATTTTTCAATAAAATAATATTATCCGTAAATTCAAAAATATATCTTAGTTTTTAACCACATATTTTTTAACAAAATATTATTCCAAAATACATTCTGAACAAAAAAAGGGACTCAAATAGGCACTAATTGTCCTTAAATTATTGAACATCGTAAATGAAAATATATGAATTATATTTAAATTGTCCAATCAATTAACTGACAGTGAAATTGATATCAAGCATAATTTGAATGAATAATGGTATTCTTTCTCATGCTACGGTTTTTACAACTCTATCAATTGAATGCACTTCTTATCGGCTTTTTTGCACCTTTGGTCCTTATCATATTGAGTTTTTGTCAATTCAGAACATATTCTTTCAATTTTGGCAAAAGGTCCTTAAATCAATATTTCGTTTGCAAGAGTGATCATTTCCATCCATTTTTATCCAATATATTCATTAAAGGCTCACGTGCATTGCACGTTCCAATTTGCTTAATGGTAAACTCGTCCATCCCTTTTCAAGAACACTAGACTTTTAACATGAAGGTACATGTTTGGAGTTAAAAAAAGAAGACCTTTTACTTATCAAATCCTTGCCCCAAAAACCCTAGAATTTTTCCTTCCTTCCTTCGTTCCTACCTTCTTTCTAACGATTTCTTGGAATCCTACTTCAATATAGTGAAGATGTAGCCATTTGAGAAGAACAAGTAAGTATTGGTACTACAACTATTGGGTTTTTTGCAGGTTTGCTAAAGTATCATGCATTACTGACGAATGTATTTTTACTCACGAGTTTTATACAATTTTAACTTAATCGTTGACTAAATAATATGAGTATAGGACGTTTTTGATGTGTTTGCTAGTGTTGTTTTAAAGGTATCGAAAGTGGAGTAAAAAGGGTGTTAAAGCAAACAAGCAGCCAAAAGTCAAGAAAAAAAATCAGTAAAATGGTGCCTAGGCGCAGGTTAGGCCGGATGGTCTCTTAACACCTTCTTTTTTCTTCTCATTAGAGTTATTTCACGAAGACTGCTTCCAAACACTTAGGCGATGCGCCGCCTGTTTTAGGGGTACACAGTTTTGTCTGCGAAAAGTCCAGAAAGACTCCAAAATTTGGGAAACCATGTTGGGGAGTATAAATTGAAGAAAATACACACTTCTAGGGAGTTCCACATATTGAGAGAAAGAAAATACAACTAGAGATTGAATAACACAATTTAAGGGAGAGAAACATCAAGAAACTTAAAATTTGAAGTATTGATTGGAAGATAAAGAAAATCTTGGTACACGATTAATCTTTTTTTCTTCGTCTTTATTCAAAATCTGGTGATGTATTCAATAACAATTTTGTGTTTTTCTATTTCCATCATTATGAGTAGTTAAATTTTATATTATGGTGAATAATGTAATCTACTTGAGACTCTTTATTTTTTTTATTCAAGATTCTTGTTATTTTATTATACATGTGTTGATTTTGATACGAGTTCAATGTGTTGAATTACTTGATCACTAATTTGATGATTTTGTGAATTTTTTAACGAATCGAGATGTGGGTTTGAAATTTAGATCATATAATAAAATTCGGTATATTAGTATAATGTGCAGATATACCTATACTAAATATTGTGATCATGATATGAATTTTTAGAACTAACATTTCTTTTAACTAAAGTAAATTCGCATAGAGATATAAGATTGAATTAGTTAAATATGTTTAATTAGAACTCGAGAGGGATAAATTGAATACCATAAAAGAATTCAATCGAATACTATATTAGACTCTTGAATTTTGAATTAAGACTTAAAGGTGATCAAAAGGTGAAATTGTTCGACCATCCTTTACGTCCATTATTTGAATTCTCGATCAATCTTTGCGTGAATTTTAATTAATTTCAACTATTTAAATCAAAAATTCACAGCAACACATAAGTCTTTGTTTGCTTTCATCAAATATGAGTTAGAAAAATTTAATTAAATTCTAAAATGTAGTTTTCGTGGGAACGATAATCCAAACTCAAAAGTCCACTGTATTACTTGTTATGATATCGTACACTTGCGATATAAAAAAACAACAATTACACTGTTAATAATTCTATTTGTCATTAATATGAATTTTTTTTCTCCTCCGTCGTTGTCTTCGGAGAAGTCAATGCCTCAAACTCAAAAAGA